TAAAATGTCAATCTCTGAGAACAAAAGAAACTGAATAGGAGAAAGTGTATCATAGTAGTTGTAGTGTGCTGAATGGTGGGCCTCAACGAGGTATGTCCATGAGCCAATCCTTGGAACCTGTGAACATTGCTTATATGGCAAAAGATGTCATTAGCTTAAGGATCTTGCTTGTCTGTTAAGGTAGACACAGAAGAGGAGACAGAGACACACACAAAGGAGAAGATGATGTGAAGATGGAGGCAGAGATTGGAGTGATATGGCCACAAGCCAGGGAATCCCAAAGCCATCAGAAGCTGGAAGAGGTAAGGAATGGATTCTCCCCTAGAACCTCTGCAGGGAAAGTGACTGTGCCGACACCTTGAATTCATGGTTTTGTATTCCAGATCTGTGAGAGAATATCTATTGTTTGAAGTCACTCAATTTGTGGTAATTTGTTATGGCAGCCACAGGAAACTAACACAGTAGTTGAGAGCACTGACATTAGAGTCAGATCTGAATTCAAGACCTTCCTCAGCTACTTAGGACTATGACCTTAGAGAAGTGACTTCACTTCGCCATGTTTGAGTTTCCTCATCTTTGAAATGGCAACACAACATAAAAACATTTAGCACTGTGTGGCACATAGTAAGAATTTATTAGCTTTTAACCAATAGCCAGAAGTGGAGCTACAAAGGAAGGCAAGAAAAGCACTGAAATTAGTAAACAATCTTTCTCTCTCTCTCTCTCCCAGTGTTATCGTTTCCATAAAGAACACTTCATTTTCATTTTGTAATCTGAAAGCAGTAGGCAGTATACTCCCTACTATGATTTGTGCCTGCATTCATCCTCTACATCCAGAGGCATAAAAGTGTATAATGCCTTCTTCATTCCTATACTTAAGAATATATTCTTTTCCTCTGGATCTGAATACATGATTTTGCAGTGTTTACAGAGAAAATATCAGAATGTTAATGTAGTGACAGATCTGGTTATATCTGTTAAGATAAGGCTCTGGGCATTGAAATGCTAGCCTACTACAGCTACCAAGGGAGTTCCACAATATCAGTAATGAGTTCACTAGTGATAAGTACTGTTGCTTCAAGGAGCCCTGGGCAATAAAGTAATTTAATATATAGTAGAATACTTCAGTTTAATTATGTGATTCAAAAACAGGTAATATACGTGTGTTATAGGTCTTTTTTTGTTTGTTTTGAGGAAGATTAGCCCTGAGCTAACATCTGCTGCCAATCCTCCTCTTTTTGCTGAAGAAGACTGGCCCTGAGCTAACATCCATGCCCATCTTCCTTAATTTGTGGGATGCCTACCACAGCATGGCTTGACAAGCGGTGCGTAGGTCCACACCCTGGATCTGAACCTGTGAACACCGGGCCGCCAAAGCAGAATGTGTGAGCTTAACTGCTGCGCCACTGGGCCGGCCCCTGTTATAGGTGATTTTAAATGGATCTACCTAAGCAGATACTATACAGTTAAAATTTGGGGTTCCCATCAGAAATCTTAATATATTCACCAGTCCTGTATTTGAAAAGTGAGCATGCCATTGCCAACTCTCAGCTTTCTTAAAAGGAAAACAATTCTGTGAATTTCAGGCTTCTAACTAACACAGAAATTTTTGTCTCTTATTTGGGGATAATAACTGGTCCTTTTTCTGACAACACAGAAGGGAAAGCCTGGAAAGTGTATCAGGACTACAGAGTTTCAAGAACTTTTTGAAAAGACAAAACATGTTCTGATTTCTTTACGAATGTTGAAAGCTCCAGACTTTTCAAATTCATGCATAATGGCCCACTACAAAATTGGATGCATTTTAAGAACATGAAAATGTAAAACGTCTTGTAATATATCTCAATAGAAAGTCATTGCTAAAAGAAAGAAAAGTGTTTTCTTTCTAGAAGTAAGATCTAGTAATTTTTCAGGCTTTGCATAAGTCACTCAGGAGATAAGCTTTAGGTAGGAATTTTCCTTTTGAACTCATCTCCAATCTATGACAGAGATAATTACTATGATGGCTATTATCTAGATCAATCTTTCCCCCTGTTCTTCTAGCCCATTTCTTCGGACAGTCACTTCTACTTTTGTGTCTACAGATTCAAGCCTGCACCTATGTTGAAAACTATTTTGAGTGACCCTGGGCAGGAGGCATGTAGGAAGTTCCTGCCTAAAAAGGTGTTTGGCTCAGTATCAAGTGTCTCTTTTGTTGCTGATCCCTGTGCCTATCACTTAGATCCCATAATTAGATAGCAACTTTTTGTGGCCTGATTCTTTGGTCTAGGATTTTTGTTCCCCAGTCAGCAAGCCTGGGTTTCTGATCTCTGGTCATTGTCCTCCTAGATCTGACCCACTTTCTGGACCTATTCTCCTTATCATGGCTCATCCTCCAGGATTTGGATGATGCGACATAATGACTGGAAGGGAGCTGAGAGGTCATGTAGTCTAACCTCTTCATTTTATAGAGAAAGAAACTGAAAACTTGACCTCTCTTTTCTCTCTGGCCCTATCACGTCTACCTGCATCTCTTGGTCTTAGCTGACTTCCCTGAAATTCTCTTTTCTGCCTTACTCAAAATGTTATCCCTCTTCCAGTCTAATAAAACTCCCAGCCAGGCACTCACCTAATCCTACCAAGTCTCCAGATTACAATTGTCATAAAACAAACTTTGTGAGCAAGGACATGGCATAATTCCTAAGATAGAATATTTTTACTGTCACAGTATCTCAACCAGATGATGTGAAGGCACAAAACTTGAACATGTACTACCTAGACTAATCATAACTAAATATACAGTGTACTCAAAACATCTATCAAGATAAAAGCTTAACAGTAGAGGAAAAATAGAAAATTCCTCTGAAACAGTTAAAAATCCCAGAAGGGATGAATAGTCCTTCAGAAAACAGCATGAACAACTTTGTAACCAAGACTATAAAGTTGTAGCTGTTTCAAGGATAACTAAAACAAGAGCTATTGTGCATAAACTTAAAAATAATCTTAGCTAGAAATTTCTAGTTAAAAAAGTTACGTAAGTGGAATCTTTTATTCCTTGAGAGTTCAGTAAAAAATTCTCTCCTGGTTGAGAACCTATTCATGGGGGTACTTACTGTCTTAAACTGTTACCTGTGCTATTTTTTTGTCTCTCTTTTAGTCATGAGGAGTAAAGAATATAAGGACTTATGATTGTTGCTTGACAGGGTCAGAAAGACAAACCAAAATCGTCTTTGGAAAAAAAGGAAGCAATTAAAAAACAAATTGCCTTTGTCACTATGAGGTAGTTGTAGGAGTCAACAAAACAGACCTGACTGTAATTTCATAATTAGGTAGTTAAATCAGACAATCCAGGTGGCATACACCAGAGAAACAGACAGGATTGAAAAGAGTAAATACTGTATTTGTGTGCAAAATTTGGAAAGGTCAGCTAAGGAAGGTGTAGTTAAGCATATACTGTACATTCAAACGTGATGTTTATTCCTTGGAGTGCCAAGAGCATAAAGGATAAGTCATTTGCCCAACGTCCCACAGCTAGTAAGTGGAAAAGCTGGGATTTTAATGCAGCAAGCTGATTACAGAGTTATCTAGCTCGTTAACCACTGTGCTATATTATCTCCTGTAAATACACTATGCCTTTGACTATCCTGGGTCTTTTCCTGCTGTGACTCTAGCACTTACAGTAGAAGCTTCTGATGTCTTCAGTTTATACAGACAAAATCTCTAACTACCCAGACTATGTTCTTATGCCATCCTCATCATGAGGGGACCAATACTCAACATCCAATGTATATTCCTGCTTATATCTGCAGGAGCCAGCTAGAGCTTGCTCTTTCGTTGTATTAAACATCTACAGAAATCCTACCACCCAGGGTCTGGTCCTACATGACTCTCAGGATGAGTAAAGGAAGCTTTCATCAACCTGAATCTTGTTCCTATCCTGGACGCTGTGGCATTTCATACAAAACTTTCAACCTCTCAGGAACTCTTTCAGGTCCAGCATAACTTAGAGGCTTTTTTCCAGGATGGCCACATCTTCCACAGAAGAAATGTCTGAATGTCACGGACTTATTTTTGATTAGGTTATCCATGTAATGGGCGCTACACATATGAAGGCCCTAAAAGAGAAGCTGAAAATCCAGTATGACTAGAGCAGAGAGAAAGATGGATAGCGGTGTGTGAAGAAACTGGAAAGAGTATACTGCAGTAGTAACAAACTTTGGAGTCAGGCTAGTTGTGTTTGAATCCTGGCTCTAGTACTAATTGTGTAGCCTCAGGCAAGTTACTAAACTACTTGAAGCCTCAATTTCCTTATTTGTAAAATGGGAAAAATAATATTACCTATGTCATAGGCACTTTGTGAGGACTGTGTAAGATAATGCATGTAAAGCATTTTGCACTTACATCTTGGTACGTGTACCATAAATCTTACACGCTAGCACACACTTGATAGATATAGGTATAGATGTAAATATATATATAGAGAGAGAGACAGAGAGACAGAGATCCTAGGTCTTGGAATCTTGGAGGACCTTATACAGTATGGTAAGGATTTGAAGCTTAATTCTAGAGTAATTGGAAGCTATCGAAGGGTTTTAAGGAAAGAAGTAATAATATTAGATTTGCATTTTAAAATATTACCCTGGCTGTACTGTGGCAAAAGGATTGGTTGGAAGCAAGTAGTTATTGGGAGCCCAATTAGAAATCTGTTGCAATAGTCCAGGGGAAAGGTGGTGGTGTCTTAGACTAGGTTTGCAGCAGAGTGCTTAGATAAAGGTGGAAAGGGGAATATATTTGAGATATACTTAGGAAGCAGAAGGGATAGGGATTGGAGGCCAGATACATTGCAAGTGAACTGACACTCGTCAGCTACTTCTTCTCTTTTTCTTCCTCCTCGCTTCCCTCTCCGCCAGGGATTGAGAAGAGATGACTGAAGAACAGGACCAATAGTTGACAAGTTAGTGTAGGACACTTTGTGATGTATCTTAAATCTAGGAAGGGACAGTTGCTCTCTTACCATAATGTTAGTTCGGGTGGAGAAATGTGTTTGATTTTAGATACTCTAAATAAGAAGTAGCTTCATTGTAGCCTAGACTAGAAGACTTCTACATTTTCTTCATTCCCACTCCATCTATGGAATCAGAACAGATGTTACATTCAACACTGGAGGCCATGGAATTTGAAAAACCCGAAAGGGGTCTTAGGACTTGATCATTTCTGTAGGTCTCTTTCCAGGAGAGACTGACCCAGAAAGTTGGCCAGTGAGGAAAGGGGCTGAAAGGGAAAGGGGTGCTGAAAGACTGAGTAGAGCAAGAGAGTAGTGGAGACAAAGAGACAAAAAGAAACAGAGAGATTGAGTAATTAAGGAATAAGGGTGGTCCATTTGGTTCACTCTTCAAAGTTTTAGAGAGTAGCTACATGCTTCTACCTCCTCTACAAAGGAGGCCTAATCAGATCTTACCGCTTATCCAATGGAGAGAGTAGAGTAGCAGCCAGAATTACTATGCTAGATTCTTCCTCCTCCAACTTTGGAACAATCATATTAACCCCATTTTCTCTAGCTATTGACAAGAATGGCAACACCTTTACTGTGGAGTACTAAGCGGCAATTTAACATTTTCTTGAGACAACAGCCTAGCTGGAGAAACAGTTAAGTCAGTCTCCCATCTACTCATCCCCGTCTACCTTTCTGTAAGAGAAAAAAAGTACTACATGGGTTAGCATTATATTTGGGGCAAGTGGCATACACTTCTGGATACCATTCCAATATCCATTCTGTCCTTCCCTCTTGCTAACAAAACCTGCATTGTGATCAGAGCAACTTACTCATTTATAAATTTAGAATACCTTGCAATTAGGACTGGCCATATGACCAGTTCTGGCCAATGAGATATAAGGGGAAATTGCTGAGTAGGACATCCAGGAAAGTTTTCTAAAAGAGACAGATAGCTGACAAGTGCTCTGTCTCATTCCTTTACTCATTTGCCATTACCCTTTCCTCCTGAACTTGGATGTGAAGCTGTAGGTGAAGCAGCCACTTTGTAACTATGGATGGTTGTGACATGCTGAGGATGAAAGCCATTTGCTGAGAAGAGTGGACTAGAAAGATGCTATTTTTGAGTTTCTGCACCAGCACTAGACTGCCTACTTCGGGCTTCATATTATGTGAGATAAATAAACATATGTGTTGAAGGTACTGAATCCAGGTTTCCTCTTACTTGCATACAAATGTAATCTTAAAAGACACAGGGTGCTAAAGAGATTAAACAGTAAATGGTGACTCTCAAGTTTCTGACTTGAACAATGCAATAGTCAGAATAATGCCCCTCCTTCAAAGATGTCCATGCCATGATCCCTGGAACCTGTGAATGTTAGCTTAAATGATAAGGGGAATTAAGATTGAAGATGGAATTAAGGTTGCTAATTAGCTGACTTCAAGATAGGGAAATTATCCTGAGTTTATGTAGGTAGGCCCTATGTAATTCTTAAAAGTGGAAGAGGGAGGCAAAAGAGGAGTTTGGAGTGATGCTGTATGAGGATTCAACCCACCATTGCTGCCTTTAATAGGGCCATGAGCCAACAGATATGGCTAGCCTCTGGAAGCTAGAAAAGGCAAGGAAATGGATTCTCTCCTAGAGCAGGGGAAATGCAGCCATGCCCATATCTTGATTTCAGCCTGGTGAGAGTCATGTCAGAATTCTGACCCACAGAAATCTAAGAGAATAAATTTGTGTTATAAGCCAACTAAGTTTCCAGTAATTTGTTACAGTAGCCATAAAAAACTAACACAAGCCGCTAGATAGATGACCTCACTTTCAGAAATAGTGAGTTTTCCATGCTTTTGAGATACCCAAGTGGAGATGTCCAATAGGCAGATGGCCACATAGGAAGGTCAGGAAGATGTTTAGATATAGAATTGAGAGTTATTGCAGATGATAATTAAAATAATGAGGTCAAATTAAATTGCTTATGGAGAATGAACAGGGTTAAAAGAAAAAAGGGCCTAACTCCAATGGTTAGTGAGTTGAGTAGAGGGAGAAGCCAGCAAAAGATGCTGAGCAAAGAGTTAAGTATAACACAAGGAGAGCATAGCCTCACAAACCAAAGAGAATGTTTCAAAGAGGATCATTGGTGATGAATTCTGGTGACTGGTAAAATAAAGATTAAAAATCATATATTAGATTTTGTGACCAAGAGGCGATGGGTGACCTCAGTAAGAGTAATTTGGATGTGGTAGTAGGTATTGAAGCTAAATTGGTGTGAATTGAGGGATGAGGCAAAGAGAAGGAAATGAAGGCAGAGAGTAAAGACAATTCGTTCCAGAAGCTTGACTGTGAAGGAAAGAACAGTAAAGTTGAAGGGGAAATTGGTGTTAAGGGGGTGTGTTAAATAACTAGGCCCTCCCAGAAGCAAACATCAGGGTGGGATTAGACTGTGCAAGGATGTTTTGTTGGAGGAAATACCTGTTGAGAGAAAATGGGGAGGAATCTGGAAAAGACTGAGAGTCTGACTGAGTGGAGGAGAGAGGAAAGGAAAGTTGGGAGGAAGTGTCCAAGACTGCTGTGCCATCTAAGGGGAGTTCAGCAAAGCCATTAGGGAGTCCTCAAGCCAAAGCTATCAGAGGGGTCCCGTAACTCTCAGAAATGGACCAACATTAGTATCCCTCCTTCTCTCTGGCATAAGCTAGGAGCAGCCTGGGGGAAGCATAGTCTCCAGGCAAATGCAGGGATAGATTTTGGGAGCAGAGTAGCTTGGGCCCTTTGTTAGATGTTGTGACATACATTCTCATGGCTTCCACAGAGGGGTTCTCTGTCTTTCTTAAAGTTTAGTGTATTTTTCAGCTTATGAGATGGAGCCAGTAGAGAGAGAAATTGAAGATACCCAGGAGAAAAGGAAGATAATTGATGCAGCGAGGTCCAGGTAAAGGCAGGCGAGGATGGGATTCAGAGAACAGGTTGCCCTTAGATGGGATGTGAGACAGCTTGAAATAAGAGAGTGAATGCGTGACCATTTGTAGGTTTGGGAGTTCTCATCTGATGGGTTCCATTTACTCTTTAAATTACAAGGTGAGGTCATCTCCTGAGAACGGGATTGTAAGAGTAGGGAATGAGTCAAAGCTCCAGGAAAGGTGTAAACTAATCACTGTGGGGAGTTGGAGAGTGACCTATCTCGTGGTCCGATGGCTGGGTGATATTAATGGCCCAGTTGAGTCTGGAAGTTATGGGTTTACAGTGGCATTAATCTGCCCCTACATGTCCAGCTCTTTCCTTCTCTTACTCCCACCCAGCCTGCTCACTGACCTGTTGACCTGTTAACAGGAGGTAAACTTACCTCCATGAATAGTGCCAACATCCTTTCAGACATAATAACTTCTTCCTTCCATCTGTGACATCTCATGAGCCTCCAGGTCTTGTCAATTTACTTCCAAGAAGATGCTTCTATCTGTTTTTCCTCTCAGTTTTTTTTTTCTCACTTCTCCAGTCATAGTACTCATCATCTTTGCCTTCTTAATAGTCGCCCTGCCTCTCATCTTATCTCCTTCAAATCCATCCTCCACACAGTGATCAGAGTGATCAGTCTAAATCATAAAATCTGATTATGACTATTTAAAAACCTTCCATGGATGCACATAACCAATAAGATTTAGTCTAAACTACTTAACAAGGCATATGAGACCCTCCGTGACCTAGTCTTTGGCTAACTCCTCAGCCTTACCTCTTCTGTTCTCTTCCTCACTTTTACACTCCAGCAGTACTTGAAGTTCCCTGCATACTCCATGTTGTTTTTCACTTCTGTTTTCTTTTTCTTTCTCTCTCTTGCAAAAACTCTCTCCAAACCTCCTTTCATAAAGCTAACTCCTACTTAGCTTTATGACAGCTTAGGCATCACCATTTTTTGTGGCCTTATTTCTCCACCATTATCATCACATTTCTCCCATGCTTGGTTAATTGTTCTTTGATTTCCTACTTTCTTGTATACATTTCTATCATTGTAATGATCACATTGGATAGTAGTAAGTGATTTTTGTCTCAGTCTCTTCTACCAGTCTGAGCTCCAGGGACTACCTTAGATTCATCTTTGTACCTTAGAAACTAACCAATGCTTGGCACATAGTTGGTGTGAAGTAAGTCCTTTTTAAAAGAAGGAGAGATAATGGGAGAGAAGAAGGAATAAGGGAAGAAAGAAAATAGAGGAAGGAGGAACCAAGATCTTGGGATCATTCCACTGCACCACTCACTTTACAGAAATCATTTAGCAATTCTTAGTTTATTTTAAGAAATTAATTTATAATCAAGTTGTACATTTCAAACAAAATTCATTATTTATATACTGATGCTTTGGTGCAATTCCTTAGATTTATCTGGTAACTAAAAAGTATTTAATATTCTCTATAAGTAATTTGCAACCAACCTTCTATGCATTTCACTGAGCACTTTATAGAGATACATGTCATAAATCAGTAAGCAAGTGTTATGCTGAATTTTAGAGATAACAAGTATTTGCCATCCCTGCTGAGTTAATGAAGTTGGATATTGGAAATGAAAGTTTTTCTCTGTGGCCATGGGGGTGGGAGGAAAAGTTACAGGTATAAAGAGATAAAAATTGATGGCATAAATACAGAAAGAAAGGTAAAGTATAGTTTACAGCATAGGTAAATAATACTCATAGTGTTTTCTTTAAGTATTTTGAGTATGCTTTTAAAATGATTAGATGATTATATCTATCTATATATATAATTTTTCTGCAGGAAACTTTTAATAGTTGAATTTCATTTTTGCACGTCCTATCCTATAAGGGATTTCTGGCTCTTCAGAACTTGGATATCCAATTTGTTGTCTCTCTCTTTGAATGTGGCTTGACTTTGGAACTCCTGGTGTGGAAGAACTCTGCAAGGAAGTTAAAAATATCAAACATAATTAAATGGCATTTAATAAAATTTATGTTCTTGTTTAGATACACTTATGTATTAGAAAATTGGGCATATAATATCTGAGTCATTTTAAAAATCTGTTTAATCACCATTATAAATTTTAGTGATTTAAAACAACACACAAAAATATTTTCTTTTAGCAAATGAATTGTTGGCTGCTTTTGAGTAACCATTAAACACTGTACGTGTAATACAGTTCCTCCAGACAAGTTTAGATATTGTGCAATCCAGAATGTCTGTACTAAAGTAAGAAGCAAACATTACAGGAACAAATTTACGTAAGAAAAACAAATACCTCTTTTTTCTGAAATTATAGTACCAAAGTTCACACTCTAAGCTTGCACAGTGATGACTGTTAGTACTGTATAACTGCAAAATTAAATTTGTTGCTTTTACGAACTATCCCACTTTTATTGTATGATCATACGCACATACGTTATATTACATCACTAGTGTTTTAACGTCATATGTTATTATAACAACATTATTTATGTCGTACTAACCAGAGTTTTGTCACTGCTATAGAATTTTTTTATAATAGGGATTCATGATAAAACTTAATTTTCTCAGCATAACATGTTACTTTTTGACAATTAAAAATCTCTACTTACAGATGGATTTTCTATTGCGGAGATCCTAAGGAAACATGTTCATGAGCACTTAAAAATACCATTTTAAAACAGATCTGAGAAAGTATGACTATTGTAGGCCTTTGAGAATTCTCTATTTTTATTGGAAAACATTGTGCTGATCACCTTCTCCATTTGTAAGAGAATGGTTCAGAAATAAATACACACACACACAGACACACACACATATATCTTGACCAACAGTCTCTGGCAGGCACTGTGTGCTTGGTACTAAGGATATAAGAATGAGTAAGAGATGGTCCCTGATCTGGATGAATTAAAAATCAAGTGGGAGAGAAAGACTAATAGACAGGTAGACAAATAATTATAACATGATACCTTAGTACAACAATGAAGGCATTAACATAGTGCTGTTGGGAGGACAGAGTGCTACCTCTGCTTAGAGATTTGGGAAAGGCTTCATGAAGAATGTGATATTTTAGGATGACTAAGAGTTTTCCAGGCATGGAACCATAAATGCTTGGCAACCATATACTTGGGAAGCTGTATATTTGGTATGGCTGGAACATAGGGTGCAAGGCCAAGATCAGCAAGAGATGAAGCTGAAGAGATGAGGGGGGCTAAAATATGAAGAGCCTTTTATGCTTTCTTTAGTTTTGACTTCGACCTATATGCAATAAGGGTTGAGTAGTGTCTTTTAAACTGGACCACAGTAAGATCATATTTGGTTTTAGGGTAATAACTTTGGCAGCAGTGTGACAGTTAAACCTGAAATAGAGAGACAGGTGGCAGGGGAGTTAGTTAGCAATAATTTAGAAGGGACTGATGAAGACTTGAACTTAAGTCAGTGGCAGAGGTAATGAGTTTCCCAGGACAGGGGGTTCCTGGGATGTGGGATTTCAGTTTTAAAACCAAGACTGTCCCAAGCAAACTATAATGAGTTGGTCACCCTAGATTTAGGACAAAAATCCGTATGACTTTGTGCATGATTATATTTAGAGAGAGCACTAAAGGAGAGAAAAGAACCTTCTAGTGTTCACAGACTTCAGGCTTAGATGATTGGGTAGATGATACCATTCACTGAGATACAGAATATGGGAGAGGAGCAGGGTGGAGTGAAGAGATAATGACTTAGGTCTTTAAGGAGCCTGCTAGAAATATAAATGTGCAATATTCTGTAGACTATTAGAATCGCTGGTCTAGATTTAGAAAGACTTTTATGAGTTGAAATTAGTTTTGAAATTCACCGACAAGTTGGAACCCTGGAAAATAACACCATTTAAGCTGTGGACAGAGTTGGAGGTGTTTCGGGAGGAGTTTGAGGATTAGTAAAGAGATATGCATGCAACCAGGACAGTGGTCCCTGGTAGTCAAAGGAAGAGTTCAGGAAGCAATGAGTGTCAAATGCCAAGAGAGATGTCAAGTGAGGGAAAGTCTTAAAACAGGCCTTTAAGTTTGACAACTAGGAAATTACAGATCTACTCAATGAGAGCAATTTTAATAATATGGCTTGATAGAATGCTGAGCTTGGTTTCTATGTGTCCTTTAAATCACAGTGCAATGAGAGATTTCTTGAGAAAAAGATAAGTTCAAGCTGTCAGAAGAAACTCAGATGAAATTTTCCTTCAGCTATTTCCTAAGGAGCTCTGGGCACATTCTGTCTTGTCTGGTGCACTATCTTCTACCCTTATCAATATCAACTTGACTTCAACTTTTTCTTTACTTTGTCTTTTCCAATTCCAATCTTGCCCCTAATTCTTGGAAATTATTGCTAGTACTTTTTGACTGAGGTAGTCATGACAGGGAGCTATGGCCCACTTCTTCCCTTTTAAGTCTCTTCTCCATCTCTTGTGTATTATTGCTTTTCTTTTAGTGGCTATCATTAAGAGTAATACTGGCACACACACTGCACTGAAGGTGATTGCACCACCCTTGTTATTTTCTCTCACCACTCTCTGAACTATTCCTCTATAGCACTTGTCACAATTTGTAATTCTGCATGTGTTTACTTGTTTGACATGTTTCCCCCACTGTGTTATAGCTCCATGGAGCAAGGGCAGTAACTTTTCTTTCATCATTGTTTAACTACCACAACAGTGCTCGGTACATAACGAACAATCAATTGGTTGAATGAGTGAAAAATGTCACGTTACTCAGTTAACTTCACTTAGTTTTAAAAGATTAATCTGTCTATCCCAAGATTCCTATAACCCTGTAAGCTTTAATGCTCACTATATATATTTTTTTTCCTGGTCATTTTGCCTTACAGTGAAAAGCTGAGCTATTTCATTTAGTACCATTTTAGTCCCCTTTAAGGGGTAACATGCTGTTTGTCTGGACACACCCTAATGAATGACCCCCAGTGAGTCATGTCCCTTGCATAACGCCCTACCCTTGAGTGTGAGCAGAACATGTGACTTGCTTCTAGCCAATAGAATATGGAGAAAATGATAGGGAGCATCAATGGGATAGTTACTTCCTTCAATAGGTTGCATTGTATAAGACTCTATCCTAGCAGAATGAAGCTAGATATTTTTTTGCTGGCCTTGAAGAAATCTGCAATGTTGTGAGAGGATCTGCCAGAGGGCTACGTGGCAACTGTAGGTAGCCTCTAGGAACCGACAGTGATACCCTAGCTGACATCTGGCAAGGAAAGAGATGGGGTGGGGGGTGGGGAGGGAGGAGACAACCTAAGTTCTACAGCTGCAACGAACTGGATTCTTCCAACAACCATGTGAACTCAGAAGAGGACCCAAACTCCAGCTGAGAATGTGGCCTGCCTGACATCTTCATTGCAGCCTTGTGAGACCCTGAACAAAGCCCCCAGATAAGCCATATACAGACTCCTGACCCATGTGAACTGTGGCAGAATAAATGTATGTTGTAAGCTGCTAAGTCCATGGTAATTTGTTATGCAGCAACAGAGAACTAATACGCAGATCAAAACTGATCCTGAAGCAATCTGCATTCAAACCCAGCCAGTTTTCCCTCTGTATTCTCAATATTAGCCTTTGCTCTTTTATTACTTAGATTTTTCTCATCTTGCATTTCCGCATATATTGACCCACAGTGAGTTCAGTACCAATCTTTCTTGTTTCCTTCTCTTTCTGATTTCACATGTCCCTAAAAGTTCCCAGTTTCTTCCCAGTTCTATCTTCCTGGATCACTGGTCCACATAGATGGTACCATCTATTTAATGTATGCTAAGCACATTAGAAAAATTAGTTTTTATTCCATCACACATCCAGTATTTTGTCTTCATCTTGCACAAGTAACATACTTAAAACTCCACATTTACATTTCCTTAATTTACCTCCCTGAGGTCACCCATCAATTCACAGTGGGTTCTTTTTCCAGTTTTATTGAGAAATAACTGACATACATCACTGTATAAGTTTAAGGTACACAGCATGATGGTTTGATTTACATATATTGTGAAATAATTACCATAACAGGTTTAGTTAACATCCATCATCTAATATAGATACAATAAAAAGAAAAACAAAGTGTTTCCTTGAGATTTCTTAGGATCTACTCTCTTAACAACTTTCCTGTTTGTTATACAGCAGTGTTAGCTATAGTCATCATGTTATACATTGCATCCCTAATACTTGTCTTATAACTGGAAGTTTGTATATTTTGACCACCTTCTTACAACCCCCCCTCCCCACACCCCGTGCCTCTGGTAACCACAAAGCTGATCTTTTTTCTATGAGTTTGAAGTTTTTTTTTTTTAGATTCCACATATAAGTAATATCATACAGTATTTGTCTTTCTCTGTCTGATTATTTCACTTAGCATAATGCCTTCAAGTTTCATCCATGTTGTTGCAAATGGTAGGATTTCTTCATTTTTTATGGCTAAATAATATTCCATTATATATATGTATATATATATATATACATGGAATACATATATATGTGTGTGTATATATGTGTATATATAAATGTATAACAGAGTTTATTTATCCATTCATCCATTTATGGACACTTAGGTTGTTTTCATGTCTTGGCTATTGTAAAAAATGCTGCTATGAACATGGGGGAGCAGATATTTTTTCGAGTTAGTGCTTTTGTTTCCTTTGGATATACTCCCAGAAGTGAAATTGCTGGATCATATGGTAATTCTAATTTTAATTTTTTGAGCAACCTCCATATAGTTTTCCATAGTGGTGGCACAAATTTACAATGCCACCAACAGTGCGCAAGGGTTGCCTTTTCTCCACATCCAGGCCAGCATTTGTTATCTCTTGTCTTTTTGATGATTGCCATTCTAACAGGTGTGAGAGGATATCTCATTGTGGTTTGAGTTTGCTTTTCAATGCATTTAATGACTAGTGACGTTGAGCATGTTTTCATGTACTTGTTATCCATTTGTATATCTTCTTTGGAAAAATGTCTATTCAGGTCCTTTGCCCATCTTTTTAATGAGATAATTTGGGTTTTTTTGCTATTGAGTTGTATGAGTTCTTCATATATTTTGGATATTAACCCCTTATCAGATATATGGTTTGCAAATATTTTTTCCCATTGTCTTTTCACTTTGGTACTGGCTTCTTTTGTTGTGCAGAAACTTCTTAGTTTGATGTAGTCCCACTTGTTTGTTTTTTATTTTGTTTCTTGTGCTTTAGGTGTGATTTCCAAATAATCATTACCAAGGCCCATGTCAAGGAGATTTTTTCCTATGCTTACTTCTAGGAATTTCATGGGTTCATGTCTTACATTTAAATCTTTAATCCAGTTCAAGTTAATTTTTGTGAGTGATGTAAGATGGGGGTCAAGCTTCATTCTTTTACATGTGAATATCCAGTTTTCCCAGCATCACTTATTAAAAAGACTGTCTTTTCTCCAATGAGTGTTCTTGGCTCCCTTGTCAAATATTAGTTGATTGTATATGATTGAGTTTATTTCTGGGCTCTTGATTCTGTTCCAGTGATCTATTTGTTTTTATACCTGTACCGTACTGTTTTAATTACTATAGCTTTGTAGTAGAGCTTGAAATAAGGAAGTTTGATGCTTCCTGCTTTGTTCTTCTTTCTAGGGCTTTCGTTGGCTATTTGAGGTCTTTTGTAGTTCCGTATAAATTTTAGGAGTGTTTTTTGTATTTCTGTAAAAAATGTCATTGGAGTCTTGATAGGGATTGCATTGAATCTATAGATGACTTTTGGTAGTATGGATATTTTAACAATATTAATTCTTCCAATCCATTAACATGGGACACCTTTCCATTTATTTGTGTTTTCTTTGATTTCTTTCATCAGTGTCTTGTAGTTTTCAGAATAGAGATCTTTCACCTCCTTTGGTTAAATTTATTCTTAAGTATTTTATTGTTTTTGATGCTATTGTAAATGGAATTGGTTTCTTTATTTCTTTTTCAGAAAATGTATTATTTTTGTATGTCAATTTTGTATTCTGCAACTTCACTGCATTTGTTGACTAGTTCTGACAGCTTTTTGGTTGAACTTTTAGGATTTTCTGTATATAGAATCATGTCATCTGCAAATAGAGACAATTTTACGTCTTTTTTTTCCAATTCTGATGCCTTTTATTTCTTTTTCTTGCCTGATTGCTCTAGTAGTACTTCCAGTACTATGCTGAATAGGAGTGGTGAGAGTGGGCACCCTTGTCTTGTTCCTGTTCTTCAAGGAGTAGCTTTCAACATTTCACCATTCAGTGTGATGTTAGGTGTGGGATTGTCATATATGGCCTTTATTATGTTGAGATATGTTCCTTCTATGCCTAATTTGTTAAGTGTTTTTATCATGGACAAATGTTGAACTTGCTCCTCTGATTGGATCATTTCAAATATCCCATCCTCTAGGTCACTGATTCTTTCTTCTGCATGGTTGAGTCTGCTTTTGAAATTGTCTATTGAATTCTTCAGTTTAGTTGTATTTTTCAACTGTAGGATTTCTGGTTTTTTTAAATGGTTTCTATTGCTTTGTTGAACTTCCTCATTTTGCTCATGGATTGTTTTCCTAATTTTGTTTAGTTGTCTGTCTATGTGTTCTTGTAGTTCACTAAACTTCCTTAAGATAATTATTCTGAATTCTTTGTCTGAAAGTTTGTAGATCTCCACTTCTTTAAGGTCAGTTATTGGAGCTTTATTATTTTCCTTTGATGGTGTCATATTTACCTGATTTTTCATAAAACTTGATTTCTTACATTGGTACCTGCACATTTGTGTAATTGGCTCCTCTTCCAGACTTCACAGATTTGCTCTGGCAGGGATAGCTCTTCACCAGTCAGCTCAGTTTGGGTTTCAGGGAGTGTCTGCTGGTTATGTCCTTGGAAAGACTGAGCCTGCTATTAGGGTCTATTTTTGGGCAAGGTAACTGTTTGAGCTCTGAGGTTGGGGATGGGGATGTGTGCCACTGGCTGAGGACAGTTGGATAAGACTGCTGGCTTGGTTCTCTACCCAAGTGAGGCTGTAAGATGGGCTCTGTGGTTGCCCAGATTCTCTCGTGAGGCTTACTAGATGATCAGGACTGGGTACAATGCTCAGTAGTAGATGGGCTATGAATTAGCTTCCCTGCCCTGGCAGGGCAGCAGGTCAGGACCCAGGCCCTGTGCAGTTTGTTGTTTGGGCACCTGAATCAGGCAAGAGTGTGCACTGAATTCCCTGGTCAGATGAGGCCGCTGGTTTTGCTCTGCAGACAGAGAAAGCCATGGGTTGTGCTCTCTGTCTCAAGTGCCCCTGTAAGCTGGGCTGTTGGATCGGCTATGCAGCTTCCTGTGTGCTCTGGTTAGGTTCCCTGGTCAGGCAGGCTGGAGGCTGTATTCAGCAATGAGCAGGGCTGTGAATCAGTTTCCTTGCCCGGGTACAGTGGGAGAAGCAGCTCTTAAGCTGGTAAAGCTCTTTGTTGTCTTAATTCAAGCCAACCTGTGCCCCATGTTCCCTGGCCAAACAAGGCCACTGGCTTTGCTCTGCAGACTATCTACTCTGCCTGCCCATCTCTCAGCTAGTGTTTCTGGGTTATATAGCTTCCAGGTGTTCTTGCCAACCCTTCTGGTCAGATAATGCCAGGAGACACTCTTCAAATTGTGTGGGGCCATGTCTTAGTTCCCTTGCTGGGGCAGGTTGGGGAGGGGCCACTCCAGGCCTCCCCAACCTTTTCCCAAACAGACTTTCCAGTTGGGATGGGCCAGGAGCTACCTTCATCCTTGGCTATGAATTAATCCTCCTGCCTGGGCATATCACTTGAGCCCTCTGTGCTTGGTACTGGCTTTGCCACGGGGGGCAGTCAGCTCTGCCTGCCTGCCTCTCTGCTGATTACACAGCTTCCAGGTGTTCTTGCCAACTCTTCTTGTCAGATCGGACCCAGGAGCCACAGTGTGTGGGGCTATATTTCAGCTCACTTGCCTGCTTGGGACAGAGAGAGGCCACTCCAAGCAACTCCCAATTTTTTCCAAGCAGGCTTTCTGGTCAGGAGGGGCTGGGAGCTACCCTCAGCCTTGGCCATGAATTAATCCCCCTGGACATAGCAGGGAAACCCTCCATGCCTGGTACTAACTTTGCTTTGGGGGCGATCAGCTCTGCCCGCCTCTCAGCTGGAGCATTTCTGGGCTACATAGCTTCTAGGTGCTCTCACAAACCTCACTGACCAAATGGGGTTGGGAGATACTCTCCCCACTGAGTGGGGCTGTGACTCAGCTCCTTGCCCAGCGTGGGCAATCCAGGCTCTAGGGCCAGTCAAACTCCTCCTTTGAAGACCCAAATCAAGCAGATCTCCATCCCAATCAGTTCCTTGGTTAGAGTGCACTACCACCTTGGTTCTGAAGATGAGCAAAGCCGCTGGTTGGGATTACTATTTGGGCACTGCAGGTATGAACTTGGTCTGCCAACATCTGTATGCAGATCTGTGATTGTTGCAAGCCCCCACATCTTCTCTCTCACAGTCAGATTCCCAGTGGTTGAGCCCTGTAGATTCCTCTGCAATCCCCATGGGGCAAGACAAGAGTAGGGGCTCCCATGAAGTGCCCCACAATGCTGGGAGCCTGGTTGTCCCCCTGGGCTTCCTTTTCCCACTGCAGGAACCAGATACTCAGGGGAGACCTCCCCATGTGGTGCTGTGCTGGCCTGTGAGAGGGGCAATGCAGTCATTGTGTAGCCACTTCTCTTACTCTTCTAATGCAGTCTTTCTTGGTCTCTGTGGTGCAGGAGGGGTGCTTCATTCTCACCCCTATGTTCTAGGATTATCTCAGTGGTGTCTTGTTCATGAATAGTTGTTAGTGGTTCTTGTGAAGGGGAGTAATGTCAGGAACGACCTGTGTTGCCATCTTGGTGACGTCACTCTCCCCACAGTGGGCTTTTGGGGGAAGGTTATTTTGTTACGTGGTCAACTCAACTAAAATGCCCCCCCCCCAAAAAACCCCTCAACAAACACCAGGTATTAATTTTTGGTGAATCAGTTTGGTTTTTCTATAATTCATTGCATTTATCAGGAAAATTCATACAGATGACTTTTAGGTGGCAATCCATTTCACTTTTTCTCTGATCATCTATTTTTAAACACTGTTTGTACAAAGAAACACAGTTTGCACTTTAAGTTAATTGTTAATATGTCTTGTAACTAGAGATCAACGATTAGCTAGTGTTCAGCATTAGCTTGAGCAATGTACTGTTTAACGTATTAAGTACACTAAAACACAAAATAGAAGTTACCTTGTTAAATTATGACAATTTAACGATTATAATAACACAAGACCAGCCTGACCTCGAGTTAGTCTCATGGCATTTAGCCAGTCTTCCTTTGATCTCAAAGATCTCAAATCTCCTTTCTAAAGATTTCAAATTTAAGTAAGATATATATATATATATATATATATATGTGTGTGTATATATATAAAGTATATTAATACCTATGAAGTACTATATATTCTTTACCTTTGACTCATATTTACTAATCCCATTTTATAAAATGAAATAGTAGTGATAGTAGGTCTTATAAGCTAAACTCCATATCTTTATCTTAACTGCTTCTGTCATATCATTTTGCTATAGCAAGGTATTAGTATTCGTTGTGTTACCTGTACTTGAATTATAGTGATGATAACCATATATAAAAATGGAAATGTATGATACATACGAAGAATGGCTTCATGTGCATGGTTGAAGAATACTTGTTCCCATAATATGCTTCAGATTTAGCTGTTTCCAGAGAGCTATCCCAATTATAAGATGGATTGATGTAAGGATTGACGTCCTTGGGCTCATGAATCATAAAGCTATTTTAAATAAAAAAATAAACATGAAATGTTTTAGAATACTTACAAAAATCAAACATAGTGTTAAGGTTTATAATGAAATAGATTATCACTATATTCCATAGGGAGCAAATAAATGAAATCATCCAGAAGTCACATTACATTGATCTAGCAGATATAATAAAATAATGGCATCCTCATAAAACAAAGAAAATAATTCTCCTTTTGTCCTACTTCTCACTAAAACTAGAGTTTTCTTTATGCAATATTTCCTTTTTTCTTGCTCAAAATATCTGAGAAATTACTATGATAAATGAAGGAAATCCAATTTAAATAATCTTACAGATTAATTTTTGTCAGTGCTGACTTTTTCTCAGAAAATGTGTTGCAGAGTTATCTTGTACTGTAGCATAAACACAGTTATGTAGGCATTCATAGTAGAAACATTGTTATCTCTAACTATGCCCCTTCCTCTCTGCAACCCCACCTCCTACTGAAAAATACATAAAACTCTCAGATAAAATTCCAAGTAAGATCCTGCTTGCTTTCTTTTCCAGTATTTACAAGCTTTAACTTTCCTTTTAAGAGACAGCTTACTTGTAATTTCTTCCAGAGAACTGTGGTGGTGGAGATATAGGACTTCTGGGAAGGACACTCTGAAGGGATGGGCTCCAGGGTTTCTGCACATAGATTTTTTTTTTTAAGGGAGAGAGGAAAAGTTTAGCCATTATTTTAAGGAAATTTGAAATAAAATAGCACACACTGATTCTACATGCTAAATATCTAAATGTCAAGATATCTCTAGGCCTGATTCTGAAATATGACAAATAAAGGTATTGCTAAAAGGCAAATATTTAAACATTATAGTGATAATGTAGCTAACTTACTCTATTTCTATCTATCTATCTATATATGTATCTATCTATCTATCTATAATGGGGAATGGCTTACTGAAAGGGAAATGCAATGGAAGATTCATTTCAGCTGCCACCCTAGGCTGTAAGTGACTCTTCCAGCCAAAAGGATTAAATATAAATCCCCCTTCATATTGTCAAAGTGTGAAAAACACTTATCCCCAGAGAAAACAGTTGACAAAAGTAACTCACACACAGAATTCTTAGGCTGAATATAGAGGGAAGCATAAACAGCCACAGCATACAACAGAGAGTTTTGGAAGGAAGGTCATATGTACAAATCAATTGATAAAGACTTGGTACTTGAAGACTGTACTTTGAGTCAGTGCATAAGTGAAGAGTAGATTGTGGTAATGTGGGCATTGAAGCAAGAAAGTGGCATTTTAACACAGACATGGGGCATATAACAGTGGATCCAGACCAGATCTGCACAGAGCCTATTCTTTTTTTTGTTTTTAGGACGATTAGCCCTGAGCTAACATCTGCTGCCAATCTTCCTCTTTTTGCTAAGGAAGACTGGCCCTGAGCTAACATCCATGCCCATCTTCCTCTACTTTATACGTGGGACACCTACCACAGCATGGCTTTTTCCAAGCGGTACACTGTCCGCACCCGGGATCCAAACAGGCAAACCCCAGGCCGCCGAGAAGTGGAACGTCTGAACTTAACTGCTGCACCACCGGGCTGGCCCCAGAGCCTATTCTTATAGCCACACTGGTTATGTGTAAGTACATAACATTGTGACATGGCTATTTTGATGGAGCCATATTGAAATCAAGGGTATTTTTACACAGCTACTTTGATAGAGATGTTTTGACATGGGGAAATTTGATGCAGATTATAAAATAATCCACTCCACTTCTTGATTGAAAAAAGATTAAGTACTATGTGAAATATACACCATGACTCATCCCTGACTTTCAGCTCATGTCCACATCTACCCCTGGGGAGTGGGGAATCTTGAATTGGTAAAAATGTCAGAGATGAAATAAAGGTTAGGTATTATCTGGAAACACAAACTGATTACAAACAGGAAGAATGAGACAGATTCAATATTTCTCCTCCATTGTTTAAATAGCTTTCTTTTGTCTTTGGGCTTTCCTTTTCTACTTTGTTTTTGCAATCTTCTTTGCCAAAAAAAAAAAAAAAGGATAACAAAAAAAAACATGACTCTTGGAAGTGTGATTTCAGTGAAGCTTGACAAGAAAGCTTCACTTGTGTCTATAGCCAGTCCCTCTGATCTTTGCTCCCTGATGTCATAGTAGACAGAATCAAGGGTTCCTGCCCATTTCGTACATCAGGTCTTAAAGGGACTACCTTTCTTTCTATGGTGGACTTAACTTCATTAGTCCAGGCCACTTTCTCTGGCAGGCAAGAGACAGTAGTATATCTGATGTGATGAAAAGTAGCTTATCTAAAATTTGGATTTGGGGGCCATAAACCAGATTCTCTAGTTCCAGAAGTATGGATAAACTGGGGAGAAAGATCCCACAGGAAGCAGTAAGAGGAGTCTCAGCATGTAGAGGAACTACTATGTACCTCCCACTTGTCCAGATTGGGCCCAACTTAAACTCATTAAACCAGACCTAGCCCTTAATTCAACTAGATGGATGTAGAAGTGTTTCAGGCAGAACCTAAGAGTAGAACATTATAGAGTAGAAGGCAGGGCTAGATGGACACGGTGAGATTTCTTTTTTGAGATCAGGCCCTAGGGGCGGTGGTGATAGTAGTGTTGTACTCTACTCTTATGAGTACATGGGAGTCCAGAAAGAATAGCATCTAGCTGCTGAAGACAGTTTTCTCCAGAATCAGTGACTGTATCAAATTCTTGAGGTAGGGTGACCACATAATTTATTGTTCAAACCAGAACAATTATGAGAGTAACAGGGAACTCTTAATGTTTACGTTGGAACAAGGGAAAGAAAGTGGGATTATCCTGGTCACCATACCTTGAAGTCACTGTTGTTGGACCCAAAGCTGAGTCTTCCCCTGTTTTTTAGAAACACAGTCAATGTAGCTTTCCACTTTCTTCCATATCTTATTTCAGAAAATCTTGAAACACCTTATTTGATATTGCATAGGCACAATCATTGATTTCGTTGTTCAGCACCCTCAGTGAAGTTGATGCTGTGAGAGTGTGGGACAGATGTGTTCAGTATAGCATTAAGCCACAGTTCAGCTTAACGACTTCAAAAGACAAAGAAAAAGTCATGTGGAGGGGCCCACTAGGACATGATAAGTGTAGAAAAGTCAGCAGATTCCCATTTAAATTCATAATCAAAGAGCAAAATATCATCTGAGCGTTGGGAAATGTAAAGAAATCGAGAGAAGTTTCTGGAACTCTGATGACATTCCAAAAAGCAAAAAATATGTGTGCAAGAAGACACACAGGTCCATCGAATCTATCTGGGACAGCCTGACTAGGTGCCCCATGTATTGGAAGTCACAGGTAAAGTAGCTGTCCTATTCATTTCCCTCTCCAATGCCAATACAGTTTTTTCTAATTGTTACAGATTAAGGCTCTATCTAAAGGCAGCAGTACCTGGAACCAGGAGTAGTCTGCACCATGGACGGTTGGATCTGAGTTTCTCAGAGAATTTCAGGTTTTAGAATGTATGGTAAGAAATCTCCAAAAGGCCCAACAGCACTGCCTATCCATCCTACAATTCCCTAATTAATTAATTCTCCTACTCTCTGAGACAACTATTTCACCACCCCCTCTCTCTCCACAAACCTCCAGCTTCTCCTCCATGTTCTTTCTTCCCAGTTGATGACCTCGCTTCTTATTTCACTAAGAAAATAGAAACAATCAAAAGAGAACTATTTCATCTTCCCACCACCAAATTTTCCAATTTACCTGCATCTGTATCCACATCCTTTATTATGGATAAAGTGTATCCACTTGTATCAAAAACCAAAGCCTCCAAATGTGCTCAGGACCCCCCTTCTTCTGGGCCTCTCAAGGACTTTATTCATGCAGTCATTCCCATTCTATTCTATAGCATCGCTTTTCTCCCTTTCTACTGATCATTTCCGGTAACATACAGATTTACATTACACAAAACTCTCTTAACTCCACATTATTTCCTAGCTGCTGCCTCAATTTTTCTGCCTCCTATCACTGTAAAACATCTCAAAAAAAGTTGTCTACTCTCATTGTAGCCACTCCCTCACCTTTTTCACTTTTCAGTCCATGCAAGATTGCTTCTCTCCCCATCGCTCTGCTGAAACAGCTCTTGTCAAGATTACCAACCATCTCATGTTGCCAAATCCAATGTTATTTCTGTCTTTATCTGACTTTATCTCTCAGTAGCATTTAACATAGTGGGCCATTCCCTAATTCTTGAAATACTTTCTTGTTTTTCTTTGCTTCCATGATACCACACTCTCCTGGACTTTCTCTTATTGTTCTGTATGATCATCCCAGTTACTTTTGCTGGCCCAGCATCTCTCTTGCTACCTGATCTCCAAATGTTGGAACACCTGAGATTTGTTACTAACCTCTCTTTTCCTCTGTATCTATACTCTGTCCATAAGTCCAGTAACATGACTTTAAGTAGCACCCATATCCTGATGACTATCAAATTTAAATCTCTAGTCCATACTTGTCTCCTGAGATCCAAATTCGTATATCCAACTGCCTATTTCAGACTTCAGTAGACACCTCCAACTAACCATGTCAAAACCAAAAATTTTGATCACCCCCCGTGAAAACTCTGCTCCTCCTCCAGGGTTCCTCATCCACCCAGTTGCTCAAAACAAAATCCTGGGAGTCATCGTTGGTTCCTCTCTTTCCCTCATGACCCATGTCTAATCTATCAGTAAGTTTTGTTTCTTCTACTTATAAAATAGTTCACTTCTCTTTACCTCCACTGTCACCACCCTAGTTCAAGACGTCATTAGCTCTCTCTTGGACTTCTGTCAGATTATGAACTCTTCTTCCTTATTCCAATTGTGGCCCCCTCCAAACCACTCTCTGCACAGCATTCAGAATCATTCCCATGGAAAAGTCCTCCAGTGTGACTGTCCACTTAACTGACAACAAAATCAAATGTCTTACCATATCCTACAAAGACCAGCATGATCTGCCTACCTCATCAACATTTCAGCCATGTTGAATTTCTTTCTTTGAACACATCAAACCTGTTTTTCCCTTAGGGTTTTTGTACTTTCTCTTCTCTCTGCTTAGAAATTTCTTTCCCTGACTTTTTGTGTGGAAGAGTTTTTCTCAGCTTTTAGTCTCAATTCAAATATCACCTCTTCAAAAAGTCTTCCCTAACTTTCCTACCTTTGTTCACCCCTAAGTCACTATTGCAGCATCCTGTTTATTGTACTTATAGAATTTATCACAATCTGAAATTATCTTATTTACATACTAATTTGTTTATCGTCTGCCTCCTCTCCCTTCCCGTTAGCTCACATGGAGCTAATGTAAGCTCCATGAGGACAAGGCTTAATCTCGGAGACCACCGTATCCCTAGAGCATAGAACTGTTCCAAGCATATAGTAGGCACTCAGTAATTTTTTGTTGAATGGATAAATGAATAATGAGATATAATGAACACCACTGAATAATTTTTTATGCTAAGGACCAAAGGGAATAACATTGGTTTCTTCAATCCTTTTGGTGTGACCCTATACTTTAGTGGCCTCTTGATAAATCTATCTTGAAAGAACACCAAGTCCAGATGAGGAGTAATCTGAATAATAAATAAGGCGTAGTGGGCTCTCAAATCTGAACCTGTCTACTGATTATCCAAGTTCCT